TTTTTACTTCAGCAGATAAAAATTTATTGAAAATAACATCAGTATACTAAAATAAAACTTAAAGACTAAGAATCAAAAAGTCTCTTACTCGCTCTAAAAACTCAAGGCGATTGACGAGAAGCTTACAATACGTTGAATTTGGTGTGCAATAAGTTGAAGAACGAAGAGCCTGCCAACAATTCTGAAGCTGCAGAATGCGTGGCTTGTAATGCTGGGTTTCTTTTACAACTGTCGAGTGACCATCACGTATCAACTTTAAAATGGAAAATGGTCAAACGATGAAAATAGTAATGATAGAGAACTACAGTAAACTTGTTTTGGAAGGAATCTAGTCAATATAACGTTTTTGAAATTATACAATATAAAATCAATTTTTTTGATGATAAAACAGCTCTACAAATAGTAAACATAACAAAGTAGATGTAGTCATAAGAAGCAACAACGACAGATACCTTATGAACCAAATAGCAAAATTTCCAACACACAATAGGACTCTTCTCGAGCTGAGTAACTGACACTACATTCCAAAACACTGAAGATGAGTGTTCCCTGTGAGTTCTCAAAACTATTTCGCGAAGACATTTTTGCTTCAGTGGCGTTTCAGACTTGTTTAACGCTTTATGTACTATAGCTGCCTAAGCAAGTAAAAGAACAATGTAACAGAACAGAAGAAACTTAGAGAAGAAAATTAATCTTTTGCTTGTTATTTATATTTAAAATTTCGTCTAGGAAATAAAACCAAAATAAAAATCTTTTTGGAAGAACGATAAGTGAATACTTATGCGTCGTAAAAAAAGTAAAAATAAGATATTCGAAGAGTGTTAGTGCCAATATACAAATTTATTGAAATTTTATGATTGTCTGTAATAGTTTCTTTTTTTTTTTTAAATTTAAACTATTTAGAGAAATAATTTCAGCTTATTAATACGATTAAACATCAGTCATTTCCGCTGTATAAAGTCAGTTTCAAATTTTTTAAAAAAAAGTTTCAGCTGTTTGGGATTACGTTTTTGACAGACGTTTCTTCATCTAAAAAAAGTGTCGTAGATTTTTGTTGTTTTTATTTTGAAGAAAAGATGTCTATTTTATGAGAAAGATCCGATTAGGTAGAAAAGCTTGAAATTTGGAAATCA